TAGTGGCGTATACAGAGAAGTGGCCAACCCTTGACTTGTCAGAGGAGTATGAAGGTGATCACGAAACGCTTGGGTGCTGTCGGTGCTACTCGTCTTCCAGGATGGGGACCGCGTGATCCTCACTGTGCCTGGTTGGAGACACTACAAGATATGGCTGCCAACCGATGTCAGTGGCGTTCTTGTTGTCAGTTTCTATCCAGATTGCCTGAGTGAATGTCTGGAGGTGTAGGCACCTCGGAATGATTGTGTTAAGCTAGCACTAAGTCCCTCCCCCGTCCACCTTTACTCTTTTCTTTACAATAAGGCTTTCATATAAGTCATGGTTGTACGGCACTGAAGCATCGGTGTTGAACACTGATGTCACGCTGTCGATGATGATGATGATGACACTGTGGTGTTTTGATCCATGCATAAGGGACATGGCCTTTACGCGCGCAAGACGTATAAAAGATGCCAGTGTTTGATCATCGGTGTCTCTGAAGCATTGGTAGAATTTGATAGAAACATTGGGTTTCAGGAAGGAGCTGCTTTGTGATAGATGGATTGCTCACGCTTCATAGGTTACGGTGGTTAGAGCGTGTGCTCCGCATGCCAGAAACCGCCATCTCAGTGCCCTTTTAACCCAGCCCAATGCCGAGCGGAAACAACAAAGTGGTGAACAGTTTATGACCTGGCAAGGAAATGTGAAAACAGTAACCAGTAAATTTGGTCTGATCGACAACTGTCGTCTCCCTGGATGGTCGTCAACTCACTAATAGTTGATGATACCGGCGTAAATGGCTCAATCGCGCAGTCAATGGCCCTCGTGCATGAAAGCTATCGCCTTCGTACTACCCAGTTCCCGAACTAAGCAAAAATACCACCGCCTTCAAGGCGTGGCTGTATGTCCCACAATGTCCCGTTTTCCGGTGGTCGAAACTATAACAGCTAGAACCAGTGAGCCTATAGTACGTGACTGAGAGCTGATGAATTGATTGAATGGATCGATTACCTCCAGTCTGCCTCGTGTTGCGGTTTTTAGCAGTCGAGCTGCTCCTCTTCGGAATTCCTGAACCCTTTAGAACTGAGATGGTGAGATGATTCAGCGTCTAGAGCGCGAAGCTCGACTGGAAGGTCCGTGGTTCGAACCCAACATCGGCTTTTCAACTTCTTTAGGCTTGGGCAACCTGGCATTATCCCAGCCCTCGTGCCTTCTTTTTCGGGTGGCATGGCAGGTAGGCACTGAAAGGGTGCTACAGCTGAACGATCATCTATCATCAAGCGAATGTAGCCAATAGAGACACTGTAGCACTGAACTCTCACCTCAACGACAAGATAACAGCTATAGATCGGATGACTCTCATACGACTGTTGTTTTGGCCTTTCTGGTGATCTTTCACCCTTGAGATTCGAAAGATTTGCCCGGCCATTTGACTCTGGATGTGTATAGCTATCGGATTTGCAACGATGCAGGCTGTCGGCAGGATTCATAAGAGAGGGATGTTAAGGTGAAGAATCTACCGGTGTCGGATGTCACGAGATGAATGGACGTTGCGTCACGTATGCTCCGGCTGGTCCCCAGTGTGGCTGAATCTGTCGTGACCACGAAATTGTCAGAACGGCTTTGCCGTGAACGTATTGCGCCATCACGAGTGGTAGGGGTTGCTCCAATAGTTGAAATTCATCAATCCAACACTAACCCAAGACATCGAGATCTATGTAGTTGATGATGTAGCGTTCAGCTGTAGCACCCTTCCGGTGCCTAGCTGCCATGCCACCCGAAGGGAGCACGAGGGCTGGGATACTGCCAGGTTGCCCAAGCCTAGACAGGGGAAGTCGAGTGGCGGAGGTCGGATTCGAACCGCGGACCTTCAGGTTAGTAATCCGCGCTCTAACCACTTCGGCCATCTCGCCCCTGATGATGTAGCAAGTACCTTGGATTGAACCCCATTGAATCTCAGGGAGTTTTCACCAAACGCATTACAAACAATGCACTTTGTAGGTTCCACTGATGGTGTTCCCATAAAGTTCCAGATTCGTTTTGAAATTAGAGTAAGGTCAGAACCTGTATTAAGCTGGAGGACAGCCAGTGCACTACTGACACATACTGACAAATTTCCTGAATTTATCAGCCACGCCTCTTGGCTGCATCTTTTTGTGGGACCGATGTTTACACGACCTCTTGAATCTCTCCGCAACACCTCTTCGTGACATCTTCGGTCGCGGTTTTGGCAGACAAAGTGGCCATTCGTCACAAAACCAGCAGGGTGTGGGCGGTTTCCTCGTAGTTTGTTTTAGATTTATCCGACTTGTGGAAGTTACTCTGAATTCCAAATCAGACAGAAGGCTAGGAGTGTTCAGTCATTGGAATCCATAAAATCCTGGCATTCGGTAGTTGGTTTCACAAGTGTCAACTCAGGATTCTGTTAAGTTAGATGCAACCACCCTCTTAGTGTCTGAGTCGTGTGACCGTCGAAGACCAGCCATGAACGTAGGGCACTTGGATATATTCTCGGTCATGGTGCTAAGCTTAAAGCGCCCAAAATCTTTGTTGATCACACCAGCATATGTGATGGAATCTCGGTCGTACTAACGAATATTGATATTAGTATCTATGATGCCAAGGTGACGGGAGCTCCTAGGGAATACGGAATTTGTCAACCGGTCATTCTCAGCTATTCTCAGTTTCTGGGGCGAGATGGCCCAAGTGGTTAGAACCTGAATTTATTGACCGGAAGGTGCGTGGTTAGAACGCGAACTCTGTGTCTAGGCTTGGGCGACCTGGTAGTCTCCCATCCCTCGTGCTTCTTCCGGGTGGCAAGGCAGCTAGGTACCGAAAGGGTGTTACAGCTGAACGACTTTTTCTCAGTTTCTGTAGCAACAGCCTAACTTTCCATGCGTCATCAAACTGATCAAAGTCAGCCTGAAATGTCCTCATATTTCTTGAACCAACTTTCGAAAGTTTGTCTGGATTCTGTAACACCGGTGCCTAGCAACCATGTCACCCGAAGGAAGCCTGAGGTCTGAAATATCGCCACGTTACCCAAGCTAGACAGGAGTAGTCGGTGTGCTGAGTTTGTGTTCTAGCCATAGACTTTCTGATCAGTAAATTCGCACTGTGACCATTGAGCTATATTTAGCTCGCACTACGGCACACCAGATGGCGCGGTAGCTTGAGACAGTCTTTTATGGCAGCGAGAGAATACGGTATTTGTAGAATGATCACAGTTTTCACAAGGTTATTCCAGAATCCTCATGATGAGATGAGGAGCATTGGCTCGTAAACGCTCGACCCTGACTGGCTCACATTCCGACCAATAATTTTTTCTCGATCATTCAAAGTGATGCCGTTAGAGTTATGGAGCAGAAGTTTGCAGTTGGTCACGATTGTCACATACCCCAACAGGCTACAGCTTCAAAACCGTTAATTATAGTGTCATCAGTGTATAGTGATGCCTTGAGCACCTTAGTGTAGTGAGCTAAAGGCTCAAATATAATTTGGGCTCCTCTAGAAACAAATGTGTTAGCGAGTTGACTTAGCACTGTTGAATCCCTATTTGGTGATAGCTTTGAACTGGAACCGGTGCACATGAGCAACGACGATCACCCGCTGCAGTTACTTTTCGACTACGGCCAGCCGTCTACGCAACGGTCGAAACCGGTTTGTCACAAATGATGCTCTTCAATGGTGGACCAGCCCCAAACTTGTTGAATGTATGAGTCGATTACTGATATTCGTTCATGTGAATTACGATTGAGAGTTCCACCCATGCTCGCGATTTTCTTGGTGTATTGACTACACGCAAGATGCCAAGTAACAAAAGCTGATGGATGTAGTAGGACATGTTTATCAGAACCTTGTTTTGGAATGCCCCCTTACTCATTCACCGTCGCACTGCATATGTTGTGCTGGTTTGGTCACGCGCTCTCTAGGCCAGTTGACCGACATCTTCGAAACGCCTTTTTCGCATAACCATGTGAAGTATGGAAGCGTGGCCAAGCAATGACTTGACAGAGAAGTATGGGAGCCACTACCAGCAAACTCAGCTGTGCTGGTCATTGCTGTCTCCCTGAATAAGGACCCCGGTGGGGGACACGTCGATGATTAGAGACATCATTGGTCCTGGCCCAGTTGCGCTCTCAATGGGGCCCATGCATCCGGACTGTTGCTTCCAATACATAGTTTCCCCCTACGGCTTGCCAAATGAAAGATCCACTGACATCCCTGTGTTTGCGCATCAGTTTTACTGGCCACCACATATGCGTAGCTACCTACCCCACCTCAAGTCACTGGCAACGGGAACTTGCAGTTGTGGTCACCGTACAGGAAGTACACAGCTTTTACGACTGACGACAGCCGCATCATCCGTGACTTCATTGGAACAATTTTTCCCGGCAGAAGTCGACTATCTGCATCAAAGTTGTACCGTTTTGACCAAATTATTCCCTAAATGTCCCTAAATGGTGTTGGTTGGAGAACGCGAGGTCGTAGTTATTCTAGTGCGGGTTAAGACGTTTAGATGGGAAATCATGTTATGATTTCTGACTTCTTGATCCGGGATGGCTCAAGTGGCTAGAGCACGAATTTACTGGCCGGAAGATTCGCGGTTCGAACCCGGCCTCTGCCTCTCGACGTCCCCTGCCTAGGCTTGGCAACCTGACAGTATCCCAGCCCTCGTGCTTCCTTCGGGTGGCTAGGTACCGGAAGTTTGTCGCAGCTGAAAGTTTTTCCTAATGCATGCCGCACCTATAAGGTTACTGAGTCTTTGGTAGCGATTTCGTGCTGATGATTTCCAGTAAGGATGAAATGGCTGTGCAGTGCTTTTTGGTTTTTCATCATAGATTGACTTCACTTGCGGGAAAAAATATACACCAAAAAATCACAACCCCCTCATGCTACTAACAATTACTGGTTTGTCGTCAGCTGGGAACCTTTTATTAAGGCTATGTTTTGAGCTTTTCGGTAATATCTTCCAACAAAACTGCTAAACGTCACACTTCCGATTGTTGCTCCCTGGAGGACCCAAGCGGAAGCGCCCCTAGTGGTCTGTTCTTTGCCCCCGCCTCATACCGTCCGTCTTCGATTCATTCGTCGCACACATTTCTACAGCCTTCGCTCTCGATTTTTTCATTCTTGGTTTTGCTCTCATCATCTCGGTTAGGAGGATCAGCTTTCCGTCCTAAGTTCACATCCACCTGCTTTCGAGGTACTTCTGTAGGTCACTCACATGCATTCTGACCACTGCTCTATTTTCTTTTTCAGGTTATTGGACCCCTACAAATCGAAGTATATTCCTAACAAAGGATGTCATTTGTACCAAATTTTCCTCCGTCGCTACTCCACCGAATAAAGACCGATGATGCTGGAGATGAGAAGAAGAAAAGCAAAGAGGACTATAAAAAAATGAAGGAACTCGAGGAGGCTCGAAAGCTGGCAGTGATGCCTGCGATGAAAGATGAGGAGGGCCATGATATCAATCCACATATTCCACAGTACATTATGCAAGCACCATGGTACTATGGGGCAATGCATCCAACTCTTCGGCACCAGCGCATTCAGGATGAGAAAAAGAGAGCAGAGATTTCTGGGCAAATGAAGGGATCTAGTTCACTCAATGTCTGGTACAAACGTGGTGCTCCAGAGAAGGTAAAAGTTACCAAGTATCGCGATGGAGCCTGCGAAAACTGCGGTTCCATGACTCATAAAAGAAAAGACTGTTTGGAAAGGCCAAGAAAGGTGTGTTCACTTCACATCACATGACCTTGTGGACTTATATTCGTTTTGACTTGTTTTCGTTGCGCAAGCTGGCTTCGTCAGCTGTCCTGACCCTAACCCTTCGTTCACATGGCGGTGTAAAGCTCGGGATACTAGCTAAGGGAGATAGTATGATTGTTGTGTTGGTGGCTCTACGCTACTGTTTCAGTCGAGGCTAGATGTCCAGATGTCAGGTTTGAGGATTCAGATTGGAATACCACTCCAAGTCGACAAGACGCCCACGGTCGATGATCCTTTGTAGACTGATTTTTGCGTTCAGGTGAAGCCTATCTATCCACTGGGGTCCAGCTGAACGCCGCATCAATACCAGCCTGCGTTCCGAGTGCTGCTACACCCTCTTGAACGCGCACATTACGTGCGCGATATGAGGGCTGTAATACTTCTAGCCTCAGCTCATACACCCGAGCAATTGATGTCCTGACAACTAAACAAGCCACCAAATATGCACGTTGCAGGGACCAAGCTTAAATGTTCCTCACCTGTTCAGTTACCGACCAAAGTGAAATGCAACTGAATAGTCAGTGAACAGAACTATGCGATCTTTACTCGTACATACGTACTGAGTGAAATAACGATCAACAGCAAAAGTCCCACCCGCACAGACTAGCTTATGGTGCTCCAACTGGTAGCGCTCTTCAACTTTGCTCCTTTGGATTCATATAGTTTCGCCTGGGCAGTTGTAGACAGAACGTAACAGCCTACCACTTATTTAGACTAATTTTGTGGCCAAATTGCTTGATTTTACTGGACAGTAATAAAATTACATTTCCTATCATTAGCTAAGTGCTCCCTAAATGATACTTATTGTTGCCTTCTGAGTCTCTGCCTCGGCGTTTCCATAGTAGAAATTTGTAGATCCGGTAAAATCGGTTCTTCCAAGGGAGTAATGTCTATTGTGAGGTTAATATTAAGGAATGGGCTTTCCATTTTTTCGCTATGAAGGATGACAACAACTAGTGTGAATGATGATACTTAACTGTTGTGTATGCCGGTCTCACACAGATAAGTCGACGTGGAGACTAGGTAAATACGGGTTGCTGCTCTTTGCTGAACTAAGCGGACAAACCAAACACCATCTACGCTCAAATAATAAAATAATAATAATCATCCAGTTGTAACATTCTTTCAGTGAGTAGCTTCCATGCCATCTGAATGAAGCACGAGGACTGAGATACTGCCAGGCTGTCCAAGCCCGGGTTGCAGTGTCGAGATGCTGGGGTTGAATTCGAATCACGAATCTTCTGGTCAATGAGTTCGCGGCTCAACCACTGAACCACCTTGAGGTCCTTTCTACGCTACCTGAGGTACCAACATTTTCCTCAATTGGTTAATGCTGTGCTGTCTTAGTTGATCAATCCTGGTAAAGCTTTGGTGGTCGCCAGTCCATGCGATCGGATTTTTATTGAGCAAGTCAGTGCCCGTAGTGTATATATCGTGGACACTTATTGTGGAGCAGTATCCCATCATTTGTGGGATGCAAGTTGTAACAATAGACTGCTATCTGTGATATCGACCTATCTCATGAATCATGGTTTGCTTGTGCTCGTTTACTTGTCTCGGTCATCAGAGAAGGATTAGTTAGCTGTCGTACGCCTTGTTGTCAGCTCGAAAGGACCCCCTACGTGGAGACCGGATGCGCTCCATGAGTGGGACTACTTTTCGCTGCCCTAGTCGTCCGTTTTTATACTCGATGTCGAATGTTTTTTGTTCACATTGTAACTCATTCTCTTCTACTTTCCCATCTAAATCAGATTGGGGCAAAGTACACTGGCCTTGATATTGCACCTGACGACTACCAGCAGATCGAGATTAGCTTGGGTTATGAGGCCAAGCGGGACCGCTGGAATGGCTATGATCCAGCTGAACATAAGAAGCTATTCGATGAGTATCAACGTCTGGAGGAAGCACGCAAATTGGCCAAGGCGAAGAAGTTGGAGGAACAGCTGGCGAAAGCTGCGGAGGGGAATGGAGGACAAGTTAGTGTATAGCCTTTTTTCTAATAAATAACAACGATGCAAAATCTCGGAAGAAGGACCAATGGCCAGAGATGTGTTTTAGCAAAGTCGTTCCATGTTCGACAGAACTCGCGTATCTGACGCCGGTCTAGCGCAAACACATTTCCTAAACAACTTTTAAAGTGTTCGACTGTTTACCTCATATTGTATAGGTATTCCCTGGTTAGTGCAGTCTCGTAACGACAAAAATCAGTAATTCAAATTCCGACAATCGGCAGCAAGCCAGACGCTCCAGGTTGAATTCGGAACCAACCAATCACAAGTGTAGTATGTTGTACACCGTGAACTGGAACCCAGGCGACATCAGGATTGCCTCCTTTCAAGCGTACGATCTCAAAGTCCCGTACCTACCTAATAATGAAATCGACAGTGTCCTCGGCCAATTCACATTGATCTCTTTCATGTATACAGTCACTTCGACTGGTCCCTATGCAACTCACGTACTCATTTGCCTTTCTGCTTTCAGACAATCGTAAGTTGCAAAACCTTAAGTGGAACAGAAAATATCTACTTGTGATTTACCAGTTCTTGTTCGTCACCAAAAAATACCTCGTGCTTTTACTCGTCCAGTTAGTCTTGTCTGATATTTGGCGGTGACCTTACGGTGTCGGGTTTCCAGTGTTTTGAATTTCGGTTGGTCTGAAAGGATACCTCACCTGTCAGGCAGGATTCCGAGCCATAGGTGTAGCAATAATTGTGAGGTTGATGAAAATTCCTGGACAGTCCGCCACTAGAGCCCATCAGATGAGTTCAATTCGTGAATTTTCACTTATATTATTTCATACTTGAACACTGATTCAAACGTGTGCACGGATGCTTACTCATTTGTAAGCGTGTTAACGTGAAACAGCGTTAAATCTCAACTGAGTCTTTCGTTTAGAATGTCCTTCATATGAATGTTTTACACAAAGACTACCTCATGTTTCATGTTTCAAGACATCGTACGTTGCCACTAAATGGCCTATCAGCTTTGAACAAAATCATAAGACAGTGCTTACTACCGACTGACCTGTTCTTAAATTCGTGTGCACAAACTTAGCTAATAGCTACCAGTCGGTTGATCCATTCGCCTATGGCTTTCACGGTTTATTGACTCTAGAACCCTGTGCAGAAGTGCAGCCATCCAGCAGGAGATCCTCACGCAGCTCTGTCATGCCTTTTTTGTGTCCATACGCCGCAACCCGTCTGTATTCTTCGACAATATATTTTTACCCATTTCCGCTCAAACCAACCCCTCGTTTGAGAATTGTTCACATCTACGCTTGTATAACAGTCCTCCTCTTCCTTTGGATTGAATGACAGACACGTACGGAAAGCGTGCCACTATTAGACAATTTGTGCAGTGTTCCTTCGTTGGAACTAGGATAGCACACCAGCTTCTTGGAAATATTTGCTTGAAAACTCAAAAGCATATATCTTTGCTGTGGAGCAAAGAATTTGACTAGTGCATCCCCAATCTTTGTGGGGATGGATGAGTAGGTAGAAGGAAAGGAACTAGCTCTTCAGAGGCAAACGCCTGTCATTGTTTTCTGTTATTAATCTTATCGATTTGATCGGCTTTATACATATTACCTGTCGTGTTCCCCCAGTCGTTTCTGTCTCATTGTATAGAGTTGGAAGTGCTGATGTCTATCATATCCGACGCTGTCTGACTATGTGAACAGGATCGACACGGGTAGTAATTGACTGATGTGCTTGGTTAGGCATCATGTTGAAGGTGGTGCTTAGGCGTGGTATACAGTAATTTGTGCGTGTATGCTCACTGCACCCCATGGAGTAACCAGTGCCGTTATCCACTGTTTCTGGTTCCAGGAAGAACCCGCTGCATCTGCCGCCAAACCCACTCTGGATGAGGACGGAGATCTGGACATGGAAGATGGTGACCGTTATGGTGACGAGTTGGACATGCCAGGTCAAAAGTTTGATAGCAAGCAACGGCAATCCATCCGGAACTTACGTATTCGTGAAGACACGGCCAAGTATTTGTTCAATCTGGACCCAAACAGTGCCTACTACGATCCGAAAACCAGAGCAATGCGTGAAAATCCATTTGAAGGAACTGGTAAACCAGAATCCGAGGTTCCGTTTGCCGGTGACAACTTTGTTCGCTATGATGGTGAAGTTCAGGATATGGTACGACGCCAAGTGTTTGCTTGGGAAATGCAGAACAAGCTCGGTCTGGATGTTCATCTACAAGTAGGTTCATCAGCAATTTCTTCCATTCGTCTGTACAGTATGCTTTGACTGTGAGTGGTGCTCAGATGAAACCCATGCTGTGCATAGCTTTTACGATGTGAGCACTTTGATATTGTTTGTTTACTGACCGAACAGTAAAATAAATTCTGCGAACGTTCTTGACTCCGCTAGAGTCGCATTATGCTCATTGAAATTTGCTCCCACCTGTTATACCCTTATTAGTACCTCCGAAAATGAGCCTCATTGTTCCAATACCCGATGACAATAAACTGGGCAGATATATGCATATTTTAGGCAACTGAATTCCCTCCCAACGCCTCACTCTCATTGATTCTGTCTTTCTATCCTCCAACTACAGGCGGACCCAACTCGTTTGGAGTTTTTGGCCAAAAAGGTTTCCAAAGCCAAGTCGGATGTTCAGTCACGTGTGCGTGAGGAGATTTTGGATCGATACGGTGGCCATGAACACCTGGAGCCTATTGCACCAGAACTGTTGCTTGGTCAGTGGGAGGCCTATGCAGAGTATTCGCCTACCGGACGGGTAATCAAAGGTGCCGAAAAGCCGACTGTCAAGTCAAGATACGAGGAGGATGTGTACATCAACAATCATTCTGTAAGTTTTCTCTAACTTCGCTTCATACCGCCTCGGAATTACTGCTTCAGGCCCTTATAGACGTGGGCTTTTACTGATTTTGACCAGACGTAACGACGCTCAATGGGATTAGTAACCTTTGAAAAGTGAACAAGGTTCTCGTGATTTGTATCAACCCATCCTTCTATATCTCATGTACTTATTGGGCGTAGAAATAATTCTCCGAGTGGGGGCTCGTTTTGTGACATGACACAATGATGGGATCCGTTTTGAGTGTTGGTAAGGGCTCAAAATCCCCCTGGAGGGTTGGCAGATTCGGGTCGCTGGGGGTGGAGTGTAGAATAGTAGTGTGCGTTTTGCGCAATCACTTCAAACACAAGCTTACAAGGAAACGAATTTCTGTCTTCTTGATCCTTATATTCTCGAACAGGAAGAGACATTCTATGCAGTAGCTCGCTCTCTGTCTATGTGTTTTTCCTCACGTCTGTCCCTATTTTGCAATTCACTTTTTCATTGCAGTCTGTCTGGGGCTCATATTGGTTCAATGGTCAATGGGGTTACAAGTGTTGTCATTCCTTGTTGAAAGAATCCTACTGTGTCGGTGAGAAGAACAAGGAAAAGGAGAAACAAAACTATCCAGAGATCCCTGACGACGATCCCACTGGTGGTGCATTACTCAAACCGCCACCAATGCCCACGGATATGGACTCAGATGATGGTGCAGACAAGCGTAAGTCCTCAGGTAATCGTGGTCGCAAGCGAAAGAAGAGCAGAGGCAGTCAAAACAGCCGCTCCTCAAGTTCCTCTTCATCCAGTTCTTCCAGCTCTTCGAGTGGCGACTCGTCTTCATCCGATAGTCCGGAAAGGACTACAGCTGATGGTGGGAACACACTCAAGGAAGGTATGAATCAAGAAATCGAATCAGACGCGGATCAAAGGTCTGAATCGGATGAGGAAGAGAAACGTCTAGCCGAAGAACAAGCTTCAGCAGAGAGGGCGCAAGAGATCGCCCGTTCTGAAGCCCGTCGTGAACGAATTCGAGCCCAGCGAGCGGAGAAGAAGAAGAAGAGACGCCAACACAAACGGGCGGACAAGAATACCAAGAAAAAGCGGCGGAGACGACACGAAAGTTCGTCTAGTTCGTCCTCCAGTAGCGATTCTGAAGTTGATTTGGAAGCCCTACAAGAACAGAAGATTCAGGAGGCGATTAAGCGGGAGAAGGCTCGGTTGTTAGAAGTCGAATCTTATCTATCCATGGATGAACGCAAGCGACCTTACAATTCATTGGCAGAGGTCAAAAAACCGACGGCAGAGGAGATGGAGGCTTATTATCGCACCAGAGTGAACAGAGATGATCCAATGTCTCATTTTATGTGATAAACTCGCGTGCACTCTTCCTTCTTGTACATAACTGACAGTCTTTAATCACGCTCTAATTCATCTACCTCTATTTATTTCGTTGCACTTGTGCCTGTAGGTCAAATCGGGGGTAGTAAAGGTCACTTCATTCATGGAAACGGACAGCCACTACTGACATAGGTCACCAATGAAGATTACAGGCTCGGAAAATTGGGAACCAAGTCCGCGGCATACTGGGAAAGTCTATCCTGTGTACTACTTGTAATTAGACAGAGTCAGCTGACAAAGCAACCACGAGTAGGCTTCAATTCACTTTACTAACGGTAACCTCTTTATAGAGTTTTTCAGGAATCATTGATCTTACTATGAGCGATTTATATTGTTTTCGAAAGCACGACGAATTTTCAGCAACCTTATGAGTAGTGCATTACGAATATACATGTAGTGCGATATCTCGAATATCGCAGCGACTGAAACACGAGGCGGCCTGGTGTAGCACACTCAGTTGCCTGGATACATCACAAATGAGAGATTCAGCTGGGTTCCAGGTGAGTCTCTTCCAGACATATCGACTCATTTGAATAAAGCCTTTTATGGTGGAAAGAAAGGTAGGGGGACCTTGGGCTAACCTACCATTACACATCCGAGGTGCCTGCACCTCCAGCACTCGGTCAGACAATCCGGATAGAAACGGACAGTATGAATGCCACTGACACTGGTAAGCCGCCATATAATCCGGTGTCTTCAGTCAAGCACAGGGAGGGTCACGTGGACCCCATCCTCCAAGGGGAACCGCACAATCAGCGCCCAAACTATTCCTAACGCTCTTCACTCTCTTTTTCCTTGTCAATTTCCGTCCACTGCCACTCCCAAGTAGGCACGGAAAACAGCGCTTGTCTCTTTAGGCGGTAACGGGGTGTATGTAACAACCCGGCCACCTTAGCTTGGAGTGCTGAATGCAGCCTTTGAGGGAAGTATCCTCTGCTTCCCGTCTTCTGACCATATTGCGTATTCGCTGGTGCCAACCAGTCCCAGCTACACTTCTGACCCATCGGTGGTCAGAGACCTGAAGGTGTCTCAGATCCCTCGCCCGAACTAGCCAAGTCTTGCAGCCCTCCAAAAATATGGGACCTACTGAAGTCTTATGCACGCGTCTTTTGAGACCCAGTGATATGCCTTTTTAACGCCATAAATGGTGCGACTCGGGAAATGCAATTCTTGCTTTCGTGCATTCACTTCGGCACTTTGCTGACATGTCACCTGAAGTAAGCACAAAGGCTGAGATACTGCCAGGTTTCCTAGGCTTAGACAGGAGCAGTCGAGATGCCTGGGGCTTGGTTCGAACCACAGACCTTCCAGTAGGCAATTTCGCGCCTTAACCACTGGTAAGATAGAAACTGGATCGGTCGACTGCGTGAAAACTCGATACTTATCGACCTCCCAATAACTATCCTTCTTGCACTGTTATATAAGGAGAGAAATCTATTGTAAGACATCTTGTTTTCGGATCGTATCCGGGGTTCCAGATTACATCAATGGCGAGGACTGGTGATTATCATGTCGCATTTGTGTTTCACACTCATACGCGAGACCATCGAATATCTGGCACCTCTGCAGCAAACTACTTAGTCCGAATGGTGCCAGATTTGTATTACAGTTCAGGAAAGGTTCTGTACAGTTTCTATTAGACGAGTGAGTGCTCGTCGTGGAGGTATATTGGTGTTCCAAATTTGAATATTCTAAGCCTGTTCAGAGGCCAGCAAGTTGGCAATGTCTCTAACCTTCTTTGGCAAGTAGAAGCTTGGAGAAAAGGAGTTGTTTTTCCAACTTTTAGGGCCCCATCTACAGAGCTTCTTCACAATACCACATTTGGAACAGATTACCATAGTCTTCAGAGTTAGGTGAGTTCATTTTCATGCAGAACAGGTTGCAATTATCAACGCAAAACAAACTTGGTCGGCTCTCACCCACTGAGTTCCGGTCAATTCTGGACAAACAAATTTCGTACTCAAGTTACACCAAACAAACTACCATTAACCACGTTGGCATGGTTGCACGATGCATATCTCTTTCACAAATTAGTCAATTCTACTGTTGGCTTGCAAAAAAGTCCATTACCGTTCACAAAGCGACAGTTTCTTTCGCATTACTAAAAATGTGTAAGCAGTCACAACCATGTGTACGTGCTTCTCCTGTAGTGACTACGACGGACTGTCACCCCCAACAACGGACACCTTTGTTTTAGTCGGGGTCAGGACACATGTCCCAGTATCAAATTAGTGATTGTGAATAGACAGTTTGACTACAAGCGAATCAGACAATTCGACTAGTCAGTGGAGCAGGTACTTCGTCGTCACGTATGAACACAATAGGGGCTGTACCATTTATCTAGTCTTTTTCGCCCAAGTATGTTTGGTGACATCCAAAACGGCCTGAGTCAGTCCAAGTGATCAGGCCGATCCGAGTCAAAAGAGCCAATGGGAATCGGTCTGTTCCACTGTGAGGTATCAGCGAGGCCGGGAAATCGGAGCATTTCCATAAGATAGCGAGTCCGTTAGCACTGATCGAGATGGCAACATTCCGGTCGTTTTATACACACTCAAGGACAGTAATCCACCGCAGGTTCTTTTATGGTGATTAGTGATGCATGCAGACGGTATTTTAAAAAATTGAAGGTGCACGCACGATCGCCTGGGAACAGGTGTGCCACCCCGTCGTTGCCCAATGGCCCTTTTCGCCCGTCAAGCCTGAACCATATCGCCAAACTTCGAAGAGGGTTTCGCACGTTTCACTTGTCCTCCTGGTTTCGAACAACAACCACTACGTGGAAAAACGTAATCATATCGACCGGTTCCTCTGTATAAGGCCATGGATTTAGGCAGCTCAGAGTTTACACCTCAACTAAAGGGTCCCGTTCCCATCGACAATCTGTAAGCTATCTCAGTTATCTTGCTTCCTTCAGCATGTATTCACTCACCTCACGTTAACGACGTAATGCCACGATTCTCGTCTTAGGTTGATCTAATATTTACTTATCAGAGTTACCTAGTAGACCTACTTTGACCCACTTTGTTATCCATGCTACCGCGTGAGAAATTTGCCCCAGGTTCACCTCACCGTTTAGTTGGGATTAATTTCTAAGCCATTCGAGTCAATACCGCTGTATAATCCCCACTGATAGGGGAAATGATTCAGAGCCGGCCTATTTTTCTGAAGCGTTGAGTGATGCCAAATCGAACTCGACAAAATACGCTTACTACTCACTATTATTGTGAGTAGTGTGATTGTTTGGCATTTCCACCAGGAGGCTTTGATGTGAACCTTACCTTAATACCGTGTACCTTTCCGTACCCCAAGCTTCGTGACTGGTGTTTATTCCAAAATATGCTATCATCATACAAAAAGAATAAAGGTCAAAAATCAAAAGTCACATAAATTGCTTGTTGTCTGGCCTGGTGGATGTTCTAACCGATGCATTCGTGTCGCGTGACCGAACACCTGCGCAACAGTATTCCAAGTGTGTGGCCAGGGTTCAGTAAATGGAATGAATTCTATCGAACAAGATAACTTTTATCACCGTAAAACTGAATGTAAAATTCTCTTCTTGTTCACCATCTCGTTTTCTGCTTGGTTTTTGATAGGCTAAAAAGGCATTCCACCATCACTTTCCACAGAGAACCGTCGGGAGATCCGTTTTTTATCACTTTCGTTACTCCTATGGGCCGTTAACCAAATAGTGAGTGTTGTCAACAGTTTTCTCTGGATAGTTATTCTGTTCAGCCGTTTATTCGTGTTCATTCTGAGGGGAACCTGACTTGAGAAACCGCCATAACTTGACAGCTTTCGGGTACATTTCCACCAGCCCCGCCTGTTTTTTATGCATCTGATTGGATGGTGAAAGGCAGGAATATTCGATACTTCCTCTCAGCCAAGGGTCATATCGCATCACACAGTTTAGAGCGTGTTCGCCCACAATCAGACAGACACTATAATCTCATAAGGTATGATATAGTCTGCCCGTTTTGTCCGTCAACAAACACCTTTCAGGTAGACTTCTGTGTGTGCATGTGAAAGACAGACAATAGCGTTTCAGACCCCATACAACAATAGCTGTCAAAACCCAAAAAACGAACCACGGAAGAATCCGTCTGACAGTGAGTGTGAAGGGTCATCGGCAAAGAATTCTGACTTGACTTCGGTAACTGTATTGAGAGCAAACCCGCTTTGTTCTATTGCGGATTCAGTGGCGATGATGTTACCTCGATTGGTGATGAAGCGTTTTCAATCCACCAGGCTAAGCTTGGAGAACAGACTAATAACCGAGTGCTGGTGGTGAGACATTCAACTGAATTATTGTCGTTCTGGTCAGAGTGATGGACAAACTTTCGTCAGAGGAGCCTTGGGAGACATTGTTCTCAAAATCAGGGTGGTTAGGCCGATTTTATTATTGAAGCATACCCACTAGATTTGCGTTTGCACAAACTACTGATATGCAAAAATCACTACAATAGTTACGTCAACGACTAGAAGGGATACCGCTCTCCCTTTTGACATGCATTTCCTAATGCATCTCTATGTACCTTGTAAGGAATATCTTATGATCATTCTTAGTTCACTTGGTCATGGTCGCGGTGAGGTGAGGTGACCAATAAACGGATTTCCAAAGTTTCCACTGAAAGCCGTATTGAGTAAAAGGAATTGTAAAAAAAGCCTCTCAGCTGTAACACCCTTCCAGTGCCTAGCTGCCATGCCACCCGAAGGAAGCACGAGGGCTGGGATATTGCCAGGTTGCCCAAGCCTAGACAGGGGAAGTCGAGAGGCAGAGGTCGGGTTCGAACCACGGACATTCCGGTCAGGAAATTCGCGCTCTAACTACTTGGGCCACCTCGTCCTAGCCAGCTATCTCGGACGACAAGATTGTGCTTTTTTGCACCGCACTAACAGTAGGATGGGCAAGTGGCAGATAATCCGTAACCCAGCCGTTTGCAGGACAAATTTCATATGAATCTACCTCCACCTATCTGAAGGTCTTACCTGGTTGCGCGGCATGTTACAGTGCTCATATGGAATTAGTGTACCCAGTCAGATGTCCTCATGTGTCTGTACTGGATTTGTACGATTAGATAAGGCATGTTTCGCCGCTAAAGCGCGGCATGTCTTCCCTACTGGAGTTCACTTTCTAGTCTTGGGGTTAACTGCTTCAGTTGAGCAGTCTACTACTGATGAAGGGAAGAAAGCCTTCGTTGCGTAGTTATTTATTAGGAAATGAAAACTTACCAGTTACAGACTGTTGGACAGGAAAGCAAAACTCTCATATGTATCGCATTTACAAAAACAGAACATCCATGTTCTCTAGAACGCGTCTTCCTGAACTTTCCTAGATAGTCACTGAGTGTTGCTCAAGTCCAAGCAAATGCTTCAAAGCGAGTCCACAAATCTGCAGTAGATCTCCATTTTCAAGCGAATTTACAAGAAGGAGACATACTACTCGCATGCTTCCCCATCAGTAGTATCACCGTTACACTGGTAGCAGTTCGGCCAACCCTGCTAACAAAATGTTTTCGCAGTATATATCATTTATTTCTTCACGGATGAAAAAGCCACTCTCACTAGTCGCTTTAGTATCTAACTGAAAGAAGCCAGCAGGTACGAGAAAAGAACGCTATCAGTCTGCACCACTAAGATCGCCTATTACTCATTCAGGTCTGTATCACAAGTTTTTCGCTAAGCAATTGGCAATTTGAAACCAACGTTTACAAACATACCTATCTACGCCAATGGTGTTTTTGCCGTGATTTAGCAGGTGAGCACTGGAACACCAGAAAAGAATCTATGCACCAAACGCTAGGCTATATCGAGATGTCATACGAAGCTTTTAGTGTGGTGCATAATGCTCACTAATTGACTTCTAATCCCATTTCATAGCTTGTGGGAAGAAATTAATGCCATGTACGAAATCCCGTACGATTTTATCCATATTCTTGGGACACAGTAAACATAGTGTTCCAGATTCCCTGAATTCTGAGAGTGCAAATAGCTTGGTAGGACACCAGAAGCGTTACTGAATGTGGAACCAATGTAGTGTATTCCACAACGTTGTGAAGTTGTCTTGGGATCGCTGCATAAACCACCGTTTTGACTGTGAGATACCTGAACTATGCAGAATCAGTTGAGTGTAAATGGATAGTACCCCGTCTAGGTTTACTGCACGAGCGGTTTACGTCGACGGGACTCAGGGGATATGGGACTCTTGTGTGAAAGGCATCTCCGTCATTCACTATTTATTATACATTCTGGCCGTCATCACTTATTCGAAGCCAAATCCACCCTTCTCCTGTGGAATTCTGTGTTGGGAGATGTTCTTGTACAATGAATAATGAACCTATCTGGCTTGCAACGAATTCGCTGAAGGGTTCTAACCACGGGAGTGTCCCAGGTTTAGCCACCTGATAAATAACAAGCATATATGTCGTCCGATAAGATCATTATCCACATTGGACATTGGAGTTCACCGAATGTGCGAATTATATATATATATATATATATATATATATATATGTACTACCGGTCCAGTTTCTTAACATTTATCTTCGTGGTCTGTGACCACGGCAGCTGATGAAATTCTGAACAGTTCGTGGCACGCTAAGAAGTAATAAACTCTGATAAGAGCATGGGTACCGACGAATTGGAGGATAAAAGTATCTGTGTACCAAGGTTAGAGTCGGAGTGTTGTACATCTTTGCAAAAGGATTCGTCCACCCAAAGCATTACGTCCTAGAGAGTTATCCCCTAACCTGTACATTTATGTCGGTCTTCGGTTCATTTAGGATTTGAGCAGTTTGGTCGCAAGGCCCCAGTCGCCAGTCGAGCTAATATTTTCTGAACTGTGCGTAGCGAAGCGATGCGGTGCGTCGGTGTAAGACGAAAATCCACAACCAGTAATGAAGGCTGAGCTATCAGCATTCTTTTCAGTAGCAGATTCATTTATTGCTTATTTTTTTGACAGAAGTAGACTTAATTTGAGGTGCTATATCTGCTGATTCGCCAGTCTGCTGTATCTGACCCGCTCTAGTGCCTAATGTCAGAAAAAAGACGCACAGAAGAGAACACAAAAGCTATACTCCGAACAAGTGAGTGCGAGAGCGTGAGTATGTGCGAGTGCAACGGCCTCAATCTATTATTTGGAGGATCCACAACTGACGCACGCGGTCTGGTCTTGGAACGAGGCTGCGACGCGCTGCATATTGCAGGGGCGTTGTCTGACCTTGACCAACGCTGACTCTGGCTGCCTAGACTTGATACAAAGCTGTGAAGCGCTACATATTGAAGGGGCTTTGTTTGTCCGGTCAAAATATGGCGGAGCTGAGAGTTTCGGTAGCTTTCGGGCGCTCGGTGGCTGCTTTCAGGAAGCTGACCTTCATGGTATGAGGATATTAGGAACTTTCTGTAAACACCACGTTCTGACGAAGCCACATCAGCTTACCCTAGGAGTACTCCCGCAGAATTTGCCGTCATTCAAAAACACAAGTTCTTCTCAAAACAGTTGTAAATAAGGACAATCAGAGACATATGAAGAAGAGATGTACCAACTGCATTACGGATCTGTCGGTAGAGAATGTCGAGGACTCGGGTAGAGTGGCTCTTACTCACTAACAGTTCGATTCTGCTGATTCTGTATAATCCGTGAGTTATTGGTACTCCTGTGGGGATCGCCCCTCTAAAGGGGGATTTTGAGGCTGCAGCAAAAAATGGAACAAGATGGTGCGTTGGTGATTTTCAATGGAGATTTCGTGTCACAGGTGAAGGCAGTGTATGCTGAAAAGTCAAGAACAATTGGCCAGCTTTTTCATACTTATTGGGCATTATCAGCAACGCGCCACTCACCAAATTTCAGTTGAGTCTCATTCCCGCGACCACTTGTTTAGTGGTTTGAACACTTGACCATGAGTAGCAGTGTGGTTAACTGCTGATTGTTGTGGCAACTCATCTGATATCCAAAGCAGGTTTCTCTCTTCCTCCATTATTGTTTTCAAAAACTTTCCATCTATGATGCACACCGGCTACCTATTAAGCACCCCGTCCTTGTGAAAAAGAGATCGACTGCTGTACAACGTGGAAAAATTCTCCAATTAGTCGACTAGAAAAGATAGTGAACGCGGATTTCCTATCGATAATTTGAGACGACCAATCGCGCTGCCGAGTTATCGTTCACCGTAATCACACTGAATTGCAATGGGCTGATTTTCACTCACGAAGAAACTGGATCGTCACGAAGAGACTGGACCTTACTTACGTGTGGCGGTTTGTGTACCTCGGCGACCCATTGGGCTATACTGGGGAGTGTCCGCACGATGCTCACAGAGTCTTTCATACCAGGTTGGTCCATGGGTAGAGGTCCGACGAACACAGTCTCCTGGCCCTCCAGGTTGGGGGTTGGAACATGTACGGCGACCTGTTCCGTGAAAAAAGGTAATGTACTTGCATTTCCAGCCGAACACCGCCGCCTTGCGGTTAGGCTTTTGAGCCAAAGGCTTTGGTTGAGGACCCTAATCGTCCTCCTGTCTAGGTGTGGGCGCCCTGGCAGTATCCCAGCCCATGTACAACCATGAACTGCACATACATAAGTAAACTCTTGCCACATCGGCCGTCGCGTGGTGACATCAGCTGGGGCGCCTTACTTGCTGCCGACAGCGGGGCGGGTAAGCGAAAACATGCTACTACTGAC